CAGTTCTCTTCCTTACAGCGAAACGTTCGGTCAAAGGATGGATGATCAACGATCTACCGAATACCAGAAAGATCAGAGTCCGTTCCTTGGAGCCGACGAGCAGTCTCAAAGTTCTTTCAGCGGAGGGAAACTGGGCCAAGTTTATAATAACGTTGATATGAACGATGAGACCGGGCCCAGTCACACCGGGACCAGAGAAAGGCTTCACGAGATCTTTGAACGCAACAGATACCTGAGAAGAAAATTTTTTGCCAGCATGCCAAACAACGATACCACCGCATACCACCCAGTCGCCGATTTACCCAAAGGGTTCGATAATAAAAATTCTAGTACCGTCTCAAAGTACAACAACAGCGGATTCGGCAGCACGGAGACGCTCACCAGTCAAAGTAACCAGTCATCGATCAGCAGCGTAAACGACAGAAAGTCGAGAACTCAGGTAAACATCACGCCAGAGCTTGTCGAGGAAGAAAGATGTTCGGACGAGTTTGATAAAACTTTGATAACGAATGGAAATCGAGCGTCGGGTGAAAACGTTACGTCGTCGACGGGAGAGAGCAGCAAGTTATTGGTGAACATCTTAATGGGAAACAAAGTATACGTGTTGAAAGAACCAAGGAATTTTCACGACAAGGTTTTTACGCAAAATTCTGGTAGAAACGAAACGATGCTGGCCGAACAAAATTTCTCGGCGAACGTGGACGGTGATCGATATACACGAAACGTGTGGAGCGTGGTATGCTGCGAACAGTTTAATTCAAAGGATGAGATCGAAGAGGAAAATGGAAAACGCGAGAGCAATTTCGAACACGTAACGTGGACTTTGCCCAAGTTATTTGCCCACGACGATGGTGGGAATAAAAAGGAGAAGACGGTACGGTGTGAACAGCGGGATAAGAAATCACACATGGATATGAAAATTGATGGAAAGCGCGTAGAATCGGAATATGGTCCGAAAATAAATATTTCCGAGTCGAAATCTGTCGGTCACGAGACGGTTTCGGTGAATAACGGATGCTCTTCGTGGACAAGACGAAAGGAATTGCGTTCGCAGAAAAACCTCTGCAAGTCTCTGCCCAATCTATCCCGCTTCGAGATAACGTCAAACGCGGGCTTGGATAAGAAAGAAAACGTTAAAAGAGATTGCAAACACTTTATTTCTCAGAGCGAACTTGCGCGTATTCCCCGTACGGAGCCAACGAGTTTGACCTTACGAAAAGTAAAACTCGTCAAAGTTCCACCACCGTTGGATATGTCGAGGGTGAACGAAAAATACGAAGAGATGGAAGCGATCAGAAGGAGGCGATCGAACGATTACACGGTCGACGTGTCTCTTGTTCGAAACTATAATTGCCCGCTGATAGGAGAGCCAACGATAATAAAGGAAGAATGTTCCTCGGACGATAATCACGAAGCGTCGGAGATCGCCGGAGAGAATTGTTTCCGCGAGTCTTGCTGCTCGTACAGAGGCAAATGGTGCAAGGAAGAAAGAGGGAACAGCGATAAAGATAAATCGATAAAGCGGTTGGAAAATGAAACGGAACCTTTGAACAAATCCTGCGGAGATTTGTCAGCGATGGACGATCTGCAATCGCCGCAGCTGGTCAACAATTGTAAGAATTCGGTGATCGATCTGCGAACGAGCGAGCCCGCGAATCTTGATCCGAGTTTAAACGAAGACGATGAGTCGGCCGATCGTACGAGTTCGATCAACGGACTTCAAGCCGGGACCGGAACTACGCTTCCCTCGGTTTACGGACCGATTCCATACAGTCAGTAAACATGCACATAATTCTCTTCAAATAATTCTCTTCCTGCTATAAATATCCTTAGTGCCGTTAGAACCACGTTGTGCATCGTTTTCTCCTTTTCTTATCGCATACTTTAAAACTTTATTCGCGCTCTTACGGAAACGCTTGGACAATATTTTTGTTTCTTTCTCTTCTGTACAACACTGTACGTACCGTGTTCTCTCGCTGTTTCTATGTATTTTTAGTCAGCGAGCGTATACCTGTGGCAATAATTTAGCGATTCACTGTATACTGTATACACATATGTAGGGAACGATTCGTGTCTGCAAAGCTAGAACGCAAGCGCAACCAACAGTTCCCTCTCGCGTTCACTCGCGACGGCTACTACCGTCCAGTTAGTTTCATTCGCATTATCAGTTGCATCATCTCGGTAGATCCCGGCGGATCAAAGCGCGCCGCCGTGCACACCTTTCATCGCGTACCATTTCTTAATAAATTCGTTGGAAGCATTTGCACCAGCAACGTGTCCATAGTAAGCGTCTACGGGGCATAACTAAACATTTCAATCGCTTTCATTTACCTATTGATCGTCTGCGATAAGAGTGAAATAGAGTTTAAGAGTACATAAGAGTTGAGATTTCTCAACAAGGACCAAGCTTTCCTATCTCTCTCTCTCTCTCTCTCTCCCTTTACTACTATGCGGCAGTAGTTTCCTACTTCCACCTTGATATCATTTCTTCAAAAACGGTACGAGGAAGCGTTGAAAAAAATACATTTTTAATTTTTTTGTTTGTTCAAACAACGTGTATGCTTTTCCGTGTGAAAATTTGATAGAATATTTAAATAATTACAAGATCGAGGTATAACATCCGATGGAGCAATCTTTGCATTTTCGAACCTTTGATCCATTACGTCGTATCTACGTGTTACATATTTACTCGGATGTAAACATAGAATGTACAGTGTTTTAACGTTCCTTTATCACTCGATACATCACCAAATTTCTCCTCCTCGCCGAACAACAAGCTATTGGACGTTGGAACGATTCTTCGGAATTGTTGCACACCACCATTCTCTTTCAATGGAATCGCCCATCGCTGATAACGATTATTTAACTTGTTCGAACAGAGAATTAAATGCACGTTTCTACCGTTTAAACCTCGCGAGCTGAATGGAAAGTTGAAAAATGTTCTCTGTGGCGTAGCACTCTTGTTGCAAACGAACAATGTTACGTTTCGAATAAACAGTATGTGTTCTGCAGCCTTCGGCGACACGAAACACGTTGTAATTTCTATTTGAACATTTTATCCAGTGAAATTGTTTTATTATTCACCATCGTCTAAAGGTTTGCATATGCTTAGAAACGTGCGCGTGCTAGCGAATCAGTTTCAACCGTAGGGGTGCTTTACTTTAGGGCGTTTATAAGCGTTGGGATGGATTACTGTGCTGCTTGCGACGAACGCCCATGGGCGTTCGCCGTGTATGATCGACAAATGCCACTAGAGGACTTCCGCACAGAACGCGTGCCCAGCCTTCAAATTTTAACCCCGAACGGGTTCGAGCGTGAGCCTTTTTCATTTTTAACATAAGCCTTTTCTCGGTATATGTACATACATACATATACCTAACGAATTCTCCTCGAATTTCACTCGAAATATTAATAGATTTGAAAAACGTTATTCGGCTAACGTTCGTTCGTTTGTTTGTTTCCCCTTCGGAAAGATTTTCTTTCCGCGAGTAAAGAAGCCATACACTATTATACATACATACATACATACTACGCTTCTTGCGGAACGAGCTAAACAAGCCACGACCGACCTCGATATAGGTTAAGCCAGTGTTCCTTATCTGCGATCCGATTTTTCGCATAAAAAGCCGGTCTTCCCGCGTGTCGGATTTCTACACGGCCTGATAACTTTCGGAGAATCGAAATTTTAAACATTCATGAATACGTATAGGTTCGGACTCGCTGAGAGTACGGCGTAGGTCGGTGTATAGGTCACGGTGACCAATTAAATGGACCAACATCGGTAGATGATATTTTTAAAAGTGGACGAACCACATCGCCTATAAAGATATAACAATTTATGAAATACATCAACGGGTAGTTTTTATTCGACGAGAAGTGCAATGCACTTAATAATCCCCCATTTTACATCAGCAATCTGGTAACTGTAAAAATAAAACGAACGGTTATTTACCATTCACAGACCCTGAAATCTCATGTTCCCGTAAGACAGACAACACCCACGAAATGAGAGACGTGTATCTGCATATCACGTATCGTTCTTCCAAGTTATCTAGAATGTTGATCCGCTGCCACATACAGTCGGACTAATTATTCCAAATCAACACAATCATCTGAAAATTTAACGAAACTTGTTACCAAACCTTGACAGTCAACATGCAGAAATGAGTAGAAAACCGAGCATCGAGAGTGTACAGTAGAGCGTACAGTGATGATCAAAATGTCACAAGCGAGATACCTACTTGCATATGAAATTGTACAAAATTAAATTAAAGATTAAACGAACATGCAACCCGTAACTTGAAAATATCATACCGTGTTAAAAACAAAAAAAAAAAGATAAGTAATAATGGTACATGCGTTGTTCCGAGATAATAATTTCTATGTCGATAGCCGGAAAGCAATAAATCATTAGCGGGTAAGATGCACGAAGGATATTGATTATCGAACCACGTCACGAACAATGAAACGATGCTCGTTATTTATGCGTTAATATAATTTGTCATTACGACAGGTGCGCAACAATAAATGGAATGGATATTTCATTTGGGATGACGTACGTTTCATACCGATACAAAATCAACAATTGATATCAACGTTCTAGAACCCCATTAGCCCGACATACATATACATATACGTATGTATCCACTCGATACGAACGAAGATCTTCAATTTAGATTCCACGTTTCCTAACCGATCGTTGCTCGTCATACTTGTACAATGAAATTTATTATTGAAAAATATACAATTCGAGCATCGGGAACAAAAGAGAATGAAACTCTGAAAGATATACATACATGTTTTTTGATAGATTTTTCGGGTCCTGATTGACCATCGTCGGTCGTAGTCGTTTCTTGCAGAGAGTTCGAGGGGATCGAGCTATGAGAAATAGAGTGTCGGGGAAGAAGAGAACGCGTACTTACTCGGAATGCTAAGATTAAAGAATCGAACACGACTATCGAGGATCGTGTGAGCTTAATAACGGAGGTTCTCTGTCGCAGAATCACCGAGGCGTTATGTGGAGGGTGAGGTGACGATTCATTATCGTTCACCAGTGCGTACAGAGGCGAAGGAACCATTGAGCGAGGAAGAACTCGCCCGTCGAAGCGCAGAGAACATGCGACGCGTCTATCAAGAAGAACGACGTCGCAAATATCTTCAGGAACTCCACGACATTGATTCCCGACGACATACCGATAATTTCATGTAACTTAACAAATTTACTATTCGCAAACTTCACCTTTATTTCTTTGCATTTCCTCTATTCGAAAACTATTTGCTGTTTCAGACCATCCCAGAAGTCACCGATCCCTCTAAACCGTTACGACGACTTTGTCGACGATTACAGCCATAGAAGCAGATCCCAGGAACAAACACCGGAACCTCGGCTCGTAGCAAGAGCGCTTTATAACTTTATCGGTCAATCTTCGCGAGAATTGAATTTTCGTCGCGGTGACATAATATTTGTACGTCGTCAGGTGGACAAGAACTGGTACGAAGGGGAACACAATGCTATGATCGGACTCTTTCCATCGAATTACGTCGAGGTAATCCTTGATCGAACGTTCATTGGTTCATTAGTCACGCGAGATATCAAGAGAAATTAACCGTTTCTTTACGTTTCTAAGATTTTACCATACGACGGAATGCGAACGACACCAAAGAAACCTTACGAAGGTCAGGCACGAGCTAAATTCAACTTTGTCGCTCAAACGAATCTCGAACTGACATTGGCCAAAGGTAAGTACAGAGTAATGTGTTAGTTGTCGCTTGGTAATCCCTCCCACCTTTAATTTAAACTTATTTCTCGAAGAATGGTAAAAGGAAAAATTGGATAAAATTTAAGACAAAAGCTACAATTCCTCAGATGTTCTAAATAATCCAGATATTATACGAATGTCACTTTTCAGGAGAGTTTGTTGTCCTGACGAGGAGAGTAGATGAAAACTGGTACGAGGGACGCATTGGAAATCGAAAAGGGATATTTCCTATCTCTTACGTCGAAGTCATTGTAGAACCTGGACATAGATCAGGTACCGTTGCCGTTAAATGCAATCAATTCACACGACCGAATCTGATATTGAACGCAAAGCTTTCTCTTTCTACATATACATTTATATAAGGAACATTATAGATCATCGATTGGTCTTGATCAAGACTATTGCGCGTCCAACAACTTTTTCCCCTAATTATTTCTCCTATTACAAAATGTAAGCAAGATATTCCAGGTAGTCGAGTTAAGAGCTTCTCAACAGTTTATACCGCGATATAGTAGCACTGTAATGTAGTACGTGCATTAGATTTCTAATAAATCTATATTGATTTTAGAAACGCCGATACAAAATAAACCGGTGGCTGCCCCTGCGGCTCACAGTCTCTTAGCAAATGGATCGGCTGGAGGGAAAATGAGCATGGGACCCCATCACTACGTACCGTCCATACCAGTCAATATAAACACAACTCAGCCCCATTTCAATTCACTGGTTAGCTATAATGTCTATAATATTATTTACAAGATAATTTTTTCCATTTTGTCATGTTATAGCAAAACTACGTTGAATGTTAATAATTACTTTTACCCTTGTTTTTGTACAATTTGAAGCCAAGAATGGGGGGCAGCAAACTACACGTAACGCAACTCAACGAGGCATTACACATCGACACGCACTCCGGGCCAATACCGTAAGTTTCGACATTTACAAATAAATCATTTTCACCAAAGCATACAAAATATTGTACAAATGACAATTAACGAAACAAAAACCGTAAAAATCCGCGATGGAACAAGAGACCAAACAGCTGCTTAACCTATCAAAAACTAGCACACAACTGGCACACCGGGACAAAATGGCGGGACAAAATGGCGGGAGAATTATATACCTTATTTAACTCACCAAATAAATGATACCACGATGAATTTCAAGACACTATTACAGATAAAACCACTGTACTTTACATCCTACGTACTACAAATAAACCATAAAACCGTCGTCGCTGATAATTCAAAGAACATGCACTTTGAAATAAATTTTAAAACGACCAACAAAAATCCACAAGTTGAAAATCACTTGTTCCGAAATTCCATGTAATTACTAGTAACGACAGGCGCATGCTCATCACAAACCAAAGAGATAACAGATTAAATCGTTTCGGTTCTAATAAGAATATGTAGTGATAATAATATACATATACATATACATATACGTACTTACAGAAAGATCAACTTGGATTGTATAACCTGAAATATTGTTTCTTGAATATTCTCCAGATACCGAGCATTGTACCCTTACAGACCTCAGAACGAAGATGAGTTGGAATTAAAGGAAGGAGACACGGTGTACGTGATGGAAAAATGCGACGATGGTTGGTACGTCGGTTCCAGCGAGAGAACAGGTTATTTCGGAACTTTTCCTGGCAATTACGTGGAAAGATTGTGAGAAAGAACGATAAACCGCGATCTTATCACCGCGCCGCGTATCGAACCGCAAATTATGTTTTACCAAAGCACTCGGTCGAACCATTAACGTAGATGAGATATTTAACGTTTACACGTCGATGATAAGGAACGAAGAAACACGCGTCACAACAGTCTTCCCCTTTACCAATGTCGACGTCGACGATGACAATGTCACGCAACTCGACACGATCAACCTTATTGTCGAATTTACCAAAAAACTTATCGTAAGGTTACGAGTAACGTGTAAGTAGTGTATAATAACGTTTAGTTATTTATTATACCATTTACGAGGGCAACTGTGCGTTAGGCGAACGTTGCGAGGCGTCGGAATAGAAAACGAACAGAGCTCGTTCCTTCCTTCGTGTTTCGAATCGAATTTTTGAGGTTATCACTCGCGAAACGGAAACGTTGTAAAATAATGTGGAACTCTAAAAAGCAAACGTTAAAGGGTTAATACGAGAAGTTTTCCGTCGAGCATCGAAGGGTCTATCTGGTTTCACCATCAACGAATAAAGTTATTCGTCCATTTAATAATTTAATCGATCAACCGGCAAACGCGTTGCAGGATTTTTTAGCTGAAAACTTGACCTGTTGCAAACGAGAGTTCAAGTTCCGCGGATACGAATATCGTATTTGTCAAGAAGAGTTTATTGCTAGGAGAACATGAAAAGTTTATATCAAATTTACACACACACACACACACACACACACACACACAAAAATGGCACTAAACTAGAAATCATGGATTTCTTTTTTTTTCACATATATTGGACTATTCCAATGTAAATGGTATTTTTCGACTCGATACTCTTGCTGCGTATCGTTAATATGAATATCAGGAACGAGCGTTCATAGTTGAAAATCTCTAAAGAAAATGCAAACGGATGTCTCGGATCGATAGCAACTTGGAGTTGTATTTTTACAGCTAGAAACCGTACATAAAAATGTCATGGTTTTCAAGTACATAATGTTTGGATAAAAAATTATCAGCTCCTGAGAATGAGAGCGACGCGAGTAATGTTTACTTTGGAATAAAGTTAAATTAAATTGCGACAAACTCCCTATACTTTTGATCAAACGGCATTAATAACGACCAGCGAACAAATGTTTCACGTAATATGATCCAAAAATTGTTCGATCGAGCCTCCGAATCACCAAAGGATCCGAATTTAGTCATAAATGGAACCAATCTAAGGAATAAGTTTCTTCATCGTTAGTGAAACTGGATATTTATATTGTCTAATTGTAAGTTTACGACGAGCCAAAGATGCAAAGGTTTAGAGCGTTCTATCTTGGAACCAGAGTTCACGATCGAACCTAGAAACTATTCCAATCTATCGGAAAGAAGATATACTTTTCTCAAGATTGTACCGAATCAAGAGGTTTTCGTTTAAAAAGAAAAAAAATAAGAAAGAAAGAAAAAATGTAACACGAGCGTGATTTGAATTCAAGGAACATGTTTCCTTCTGCGTTTGGTATTGTAGATAAATCAACCGTGCTGATGGTTAGATTCGCGAATATCCAAGAGTAAGCGATTTATAATTGAAAGTTTGCCTTCCCAAATTAATATTTTTGTAAACATTATTTGTATCCAGAGTTATATATGAATTATACATATAAATTATATAATGTATAGAGGGTATACATTTGTATATCTATTATTTATAGTTGTAATACATAAAACTGTAATCGTAGATGTATTTAACGGCGTAATTATCTATGCACGTGTTAAAGAAATACACACGTAAGGTTTACAACCGAGTCGTGTGTCCATATTAATCGTAACGAATTAAAAGATTTTCACCGATGTCACGGAAATGCTACGATCAGAAAACGATTTGAGAACGTGTTCCGCTATGACGTTACACGATAGATAACCTATTCCTGATCTTGGGGGACAAAAAAAACTAACGCGAATCCATTTGGAAAACAGACAATACTAATTACTATCGTAGAACTTTGTAGAACGAAAAGGAAAAACAATAAGTACGTACATACATACATACATACATACATACATACTTACGTAGTAAGGGCATTAATCCAACGAGCGCGGCTAATAATCAATCGTTTCTATTACGATCAGTCGTCCAAGTTCTTCTTTACACCAACGTTCAACTAAAACGTACGAGCTTTTAATCAGGAGCAGACGATTCCAGTACTTGTTCAATATCGATCTTTGATCCGCAGAGCTTTTTCACAATTACAGATGACTCGTAAAGCTAACAGGAAGGAATAATAATATTTAGTACGGTGCAATACGTATGCCTGTAGAAAAAAGTATAAGTTGAACAATTTTCGTAATTTTGTATAATAATGGTTACACGTACATACTTAGATAGGTTCTGGCGACCGTCGTATTTTCGGATCGGAATCGGAAACAGGAATCGTTAAAAATCACTTGGAAATTAGCATCCAACCATTGTTTTCCCGCAAATTCTAAAGAGCAAATTGCCGCCATAACTATTATTTTCCCGCAAATTGTAAAGAGCGGCAACTTGGTTGGCATACCAGAACCAATAAGAAATTTTTTCGAAATAGACAACCAATGAGAGACTTGGTCGAATCACAATCGCGCAATTGCATACGCGCCAAAGAACTTGTTCAACGGTCGAATAAAATTCGCGACATGTCTTGACATGTTCTGACACCTTCCAACAAGCATTTTTCTACAAAATAGCAGGTAGCAGTGTTGATAAGAAAACGACAGGTTAGTAATAAAAGGTTATTCCACATTTTCTATTCATCGGATCACGAACATGAAATTATATTCTCTCTTTTATTGTACGTTACATATGTATGTATGTATGTAGAAAGTTTAGAAACGAACGAGAAGCGACTAATGTATAATAAAATAATTTTGTTTCTTGTTACGTGGTCTATCTGTAATTGTGAAAGGATCGGTGGGATACTTGCGTAGATACATATCTTACGTTACGTGCATATCTTGGCTGATTTTGGCCAAGTATAATATGTAATCTACATAGCGCGAATTTGTACATTTCGATTTTTCGACCATGTTTCTGTGCTCGTTGCAAACAGCTTCCAATAATAGACAGAAGAGAATATGATAATATGGAAGATGATACCTTTTCGTAAATTTGGTTCGAAAGTCTCGTAGGTAGCAAAGTACATACTTACTTATGTACAAGTACTTACCCACCTATACGACAATCCTCCATGCGTAGAAATGAACGATTCGTCGAGAGTAAAATTGAATTTTCTATTCGAGTAAAGAAATATTTCTGTTATAAGATTCGCGTAAGATTCTGATTAAGTTAACGAAAGTCGATAGTAAAATACATATTTATTGTAATATTTAAAGAAAATTTGTTTCAGTACATACATACATACATACATACATACAATATCATCGTGTGTAATGTATTATCGTTAATGTTTCGATGATTGTGCGTGAAAGAAGGTAACTACGCTGAAAATGATATTTGTTAAACGTCTATAATTTCTAAATAAATACATACACGTATACATTCGTATAACGTAAGGAACAAAATTGTATAAACAAGTACTACATATGTATACATATACATAATACATACATATACATATACTGATCGGGAAATTTGTCGAATTACCGTGACGATGTTCTGTTATTTTGTTTCCAGGTAAAAATAATGAAACGTTACGTCCGAGGTTTAGTGATGATTATTCAAAGAAATAAGAATAAAGTGATACGATCGATGACGTAGGCAGGAAAGTTCCATACTACCATCTTCCCTTCGGTATTTATCCTGCAACGTAAGTCAAGTCGTTCAGTTTGATTAAAATTCGTTTTGGTAAATCGTTAATGTATCGGTATGGTTGGTAAGTAAACTGGTAAAGTCCGTAGACCGCCGCGATGCTTGGAATCGAAGATGGTCGCCGGTAAATCCGGGTGTTTGTTCGTCTCGCAAGACCGACAACATCTTCTCCTGAATCCCGGGATGTTGCAATAGCGTTTCAGGCTCGGTATAGAACAGAATCGATTCTTGTCTCGCCAGCAACGGGATGGAAATTGTATGGCCCTGGTTACGTGTCCATTGCAAGGACGTATTTCAGTCTTTACCGTAGACCCGTTGCAAGCGTAGAACGATTCTTTATCCGGAGGGATACATCTAGCTATCCGAGATTGTATGCCTTTTACGTTACTCTTTGAGCACTGCATTAAAAATAAGATAGGTTTTATAGCAGCAGCCGTCTCGGTAATGGTGGCAAATTTAAAGAAACAATTTAAGCGAACATTGGCCGAATTTGGTCTTTTCGTATCATGTCGATACGATCAATCGACGAATAAATAGGAAAAAATTCTTCCTTACCAAAGACCAATCCGTAAAAATCCAACGTCCGGGACAGGGAACCCTATTGCATTCTCTTTTATTAATAGGCATAGAACTGGTTTTACATATGGACGGCGGCTGTACCATCGTTCGATAAATTTCCAATTCATTATTTTTGTTCACGTCTGTCCCGTTGAACTCGGATTGCATGCAATAAAGCTGTCGCGATTGAATACCAAAAGTTCCACACGTAGCCGAGCATCCTTCCCACGGACCCAGTAGCCATTTGAAACTGCATCTTAATAAATTTCGAACATACGTACATACACGTATACATACGTAGTTGTGTCTCTTTTTAGCGGTTCCGATCGGATATTTTCTCTCCGAATGTATACCTGAAAACGTTGCATTTCTCGATCTGCTGATTCGGTTTCGTCGTCAATGGGCATTTCCTTCGTGAAACTATTCTTCCAGTTTCCTCGTCTTTACAGAGTATCGTTTTTTGACGCGTTCCGCCGCCACAGCTCGCCGAACAAAAGCTCCAACTGCCAAATAACCAAACGTATCTGTTCTTTCCATTATTTTCGTCGCGATTCAATGAATATTGCAAGGCAACTGCAACCGATATCATCCCGTGCTTCGCGATAGTTTCTGGTACCAAGAGCTGTTAGAAGAAAATGAAATTTAGGCTTGAACCGGATAGCGAAAGAAAAAGGTTCTTACCAAAATGACCACGTCTTCGGACGCGGTACCAGCTGCTTTTACAAAGTACGAGTTACGAGTATCGCGTTTCTCAATTCGAAACGCACCACCCTGTACGATCATCGAGTCCCGTTTATGGGGGCTGAAATTATCTTGCACGTTTCTTCTTCTTCTTCGTCCATCCCCTATCACGATCGTTAAATTGTCTCGATGGGTTGACGAGGTACCGAGTACCGTGATATTCATAAAGAAATTGTGAGCATCTCTAGGTATCACAGCGACGCGCGTTACTTCTGCGAAACAATACATAGAAATGATTAGAGACGGGCGTTCCTCCTCCCGGGCTATCCGACTTTTACTTAAACCTTGAACCGTCACTGAACCGACCTCGACGAAGCTTTCGCTGAAACTTGCTGATTACGTTCTCGCAGGTTGAATTGTCCCCGTCGCATACTCCACACATGTCAAAGGCTTTCATCGAACCCAAGACATTGTCGCATCCTCGTTTATGGCACTCGCCCTGCAACACACGAATAAGTTTGGTATTTATTTAGGCATTAGGCATTTTTTCGGATTAAAAATCATCTATACGATTATCCGTTATGTTTCTAGTTATTTTACGTACATACGTACTTACATATGTATGTAGTTGGACGATTACCTGTATGCATATATCCGTGGATCCGTAAGAGCACGGTGTACCGTTGATCAAATTTTTCCTCGAGTAAAATATTTCGCCCGTCTCTTTGGCCCTGCAAACTAATTGACATTTCAAGTTTTTCTGATCGGGTTCGTGCGGTAGCCAAGTCACATCGTTCTTCGAATGGGTTCGTTCAAGAGTGAAAACATTGCCCAGTTTGGAACATTGTTGCGCTCTGAGGTCGATCGACGTGGAACATTTCGGTAGATTGCAAATCCTGCAATCGTCGTTGGCTCCTGAACAATACTTGCCACCGTAGCCAGGCCTTTGGGGAAAAATATCGTCTTTTTTTATTCAAAGTTTTACTACTTATCGATATATTCAGTATTACAATTAGTATCACTAACAGCGGTTTGTTACATTTTCGTGTTCGACATTGGACTCCTATTCCGCAGCTCCTCGAACACTTGTCCCAGCCAGTCCATGAACTCCAACCCCCGTCTCTGGGTTTATTCAATACTATTCCCAAATCGATGTTTTCTTTATTCGCGAATCGGCATCGACCGTTCATGCACCACTGAATCAAACATTCCGTTACAGTTATTGAAAATACTTTTTTAAAAAATAGTTAAAATCCGTTTTATCGGTACATATGTATGTATGTATGTATGTATGTATGTATATCAAACTCGCTTCGTTGTTATTGTAATTTTGTACTTGGAAGGTGTTTTTTTTACCTTGGAGACACCGCATAACGTGCCTTCCAAAGGTGGTCCCTTCTTGGTCTTGCATGTTTGAGAGATATTGCTATTGCCGCACCATAAGTGAGAACACGGCTCCACAACGACGAAACTCTTGCAAAGTTCGTATCTAAATAAATGCGAAAACCGTTTGGTTTGTTCGTTCTGATATTATTAACGTACAGTTTGATCCGAATAAACGCACCCATCGCCAAATTCCATCCGACATTGCTCGTCCATCGTAAAGGTTTCGCGAACGGAGGGTTTCAGGGGCGTGTAAATGTCGTGTTTCGGTTTGTTCAACAAACAAGACCACCGTCTACAAATAGCTATTTTAGCGGTACGTGATTGTAAAAAAGGTGCGTTCGAACGAAACGTCTTTTCTCACCTGACTCTGCGGTGAAACTCTCTCTTGGAGCAACTGGACCAATAAAAGTGGTGAAACGTGGCGGCCACCATAGGGGCCATCACGCTTCCTCGGGATCCTTCTGCGTTGCAGGCGTTTCCGGTAGACTCGTCGCCGTCGTGAGTCAGACCTAGACTACGGGAAACACAAAGTCGAGGAACACAAAAAAACATTTTATTTGCCGATTATACATAGAAGAAAATTTAAAAAAAAATAAACGGTAAAACTTGTCGTGTGTAAGTATGTACAACGTGTTTCAGGCATTTTCCGGAAGGCCTCGGGGTCTCGTCGAGTGGTGTGCCCGAGGGTGTAAGAGATACAGAGACGACGCGTGCGATACTCACATATGCGCGAGCTCGTGTGCGATGATAAATGCGCTGGTTAAGCCTTCGTCTCGATTCAAGGCGCATGATCTCGCGGGATCGCATACTCCGGACACGGGTGCGTATCCAGAGGGACCTCCGATGTCTAAACGCGTCAACCATATAGCTACATCGTGGTTTACGTTCGCCAAAGACAGCATTTTCTTGTTCCATTTGTTCACGTTCTCGAGAGACCGTCTGGCATCGCCACGACGGACCTATCGTCCCACCATAATCGTAAACGCACGCCAGAGAATATCAGTGTTTTTAGCGCTTTTATCTCAAACATTATTATCATTTCGAAAGAAATTTAAACGAGGAAGGAAATAGTGTGAAATTAATTGTAATCGGTTTGCTCACCATACTGTCTCGTTTTTCCGCGTATAATATCATTCGCGCTACCACCAAGACCATGTTTGACTCGAGCGATGGGTCCATGTAAATTGCACTCACCTACATTTACAAATTTTAAATAACTCTGACAGTTGTTAATCTATTATACTTGATACAAGCAGTATCAAGCAGATTCTATAAAATACATTTAAATCGATGCTTGAATCGATCAGCAATACACGTTGCTCGAAATATTTTCAATAATTTCTGTTATTATTTACAATGTTCAAAAGAGCCAGGATGTATTGTTGCACTCGTATTCCATGAAAATTTACTACGGAATAATCGGCGGCTATTCCGATTTCCAGCCATCGTGGTGGCGACGATTCTTTTTTGCCGTTAATCTTCTTTCCTACGGTAAACGTACGTACGGTTCGTATTTCTATTTCCATTTCTATTTCTATTATTCGAAGAACGAACATTTTGCTCACTTGGTATTTTATTCCTTCGCCACTGGGGACCCGAAAAATAATCAAGATCCTCGGAATCCATATCGATCGGTAGTTGTTCCGTTATGGTATCGTTATATTTTGTCGGTGTTTCATCATCCCGTTCGTCGTACAAAATCAGTTTTTCGGCTTCCGGATATTCCATGTTAAAAACATCACCCGATAGATTGTAGAAATCTTGAACGTATTCGTTCAGAGAATCGCGCCTCGTTCGTTTAAATTTCTTATCTCGTTTCTTGAATCCTGATCCTGATCCTGATCCTGATCCTGATCCTGATCCGGATCCGGATCCGGATCCTTGCATATTCCCTACGATCGGATATTACTTTTAATTTCCTTAGAAATCGGATTTAGCAAAGCATTTGGAAAAAAAACTATTCACACATTGGTGTACATATGTATGAAATTCCATTGCAAATCGAGCTATGCGGGTTATGAAGTTGATAATTGTTTCGTCGCGTTATGCAATACCATTGCGTTAATTATTTCAAGTTTTAAACGATTAGATGAAACTGAAACGTACTTGTTTGCTGCAACGAGTTTCGTAAAACATTGTTCAACGGGACTAGAGCTTGTGGGTACCTACAAAAAAGTATTGGACAACTTTTCTGTAGGGCGTCAAATAAAATGATTAAAAATGAAAAACGAATTTTCAAGAAAAATCGACAGGGGGTAGGTGGTAAATTTTTCGGCAGAAAAAAAAAAATTTCAAATCGTTCTGGAAAAATTATTTTCAGTTGCGGGGGTTGGTTACGATCATTTTTGGTGAATACACACACCCCCGAAATCCTACGTGCTTGCGAGAAAAAAATTCTTTACCGAAATGTTTCTATAATTTTTTAACAAAGCCCGAATGAATCGATTTCCAATCAGCAATTTGATAAGAATCAACATTAAGTAAAAGTAATTGAGTCGAGATTGAGAGTCCAGTTAAGGATTAAATAACGACGATCCATCCGTTTCGAGGATCACGTACCATTAACTCGAGTAGTAGGATTTTCTCGTTTCACCGAGACAATGTCCGGAGTATCTCTGTAGGACCACCAACTAGCATACTGCGACTCGTACATGACGTGTTGGCCATTCGTTAAAGGCTGAACGAAAAATGATTTTCGATCCGTCAACATCAGAACGTACATTTCTTGGTTGCAGAGGGTCGCGATCACCAAAGATCGTTTCCCACCCTCCAAACTACCGCGTCTATGATTACAGCCCAATTTCGATCGATGACTCGTGGATCTCGCCTCGGTCGAGTGCACCCAATCCACCGTGAAATTCGACGAAAGTGTCAGACGATTGGTCGCGATCGTTTTCAACGTCCAATTGCTGATCTCGATGAATACCGGCTCCTCGAGATCACCGTTCTCCTCTTGGACGATCGATCGTCTGTTCCGCTCGTTTTCCTTCGGGATTATGCGCGGATAAACGATCTCGTACTCCCGCAAGCTTTCCAGAAAATCGCTCACTCTCGATTTAGTTGCAATCGTACCGAGCAACCACATCGTTAAGAGAAAGCTCGGAAGTTTCGATCGCGTCATGGCTCCTACTTTAATAAAACTTTAATCAGACTTTTCGATCGCGTTGCGAACGTTCACAGTTGCATTTCGTTCCACCTTAGTTTGCTTCGGTTATGCTGAACCCGTTTAATCCGAAAACCGAACGTCCCTTTCGGGCTGAAAGTTTTGTAATCTCGTGCCATTATATTTTACAATTTCCAATCACTCGCTTCGAATTTAATAGAAACACGTAAATCAGTCGTTTTGTTATCGGATGCCACCTTGGAACGCAATGTCTCTCTGGCTATAATATCTTTCGACATAATTATTTCACGGCAAGCAACAATTTGAATCGTTTAAATTAATTATTGCAAGCTCACGAGAAACTTTACTGTCCGGGCGCGCGCGCGCGCGCGCGCGCGCGCGCACGCCTAGTCCTTTCTCGTTGGAAAAAGAACGCCGGTAACTTTTAATCGTACCTTGGAAGAAACGCGTGGACGACAGTTTCGAATAGTTGGCGATTCAAGAATAGTATTTTAATCGCGAACATTGGCATCGGGAACGGAGCAAAAAGTGGAGCGCGTGATAAGAGGACTCGCGCGACAATCACTACACACTCGGCACGTTTCTCGCGTTTAACAAACGTACTTATGTACATATGTATGTATATCAAATAGAACTCGATGACGCGTCGAAAATTATTCACTCGATCCGCTGGTCAAAAGATAGAACATCTATGGAGAGAATGAGAGAGTCCTTCCTCGGGAATCTGACGTATTATCCGTGCATAATTGACTCGGATAAGGTCTCTGAGATGCGAGATAACGCGATACGCGATCCACCATCCGATAGAGACCACCGATTTCGATAGGTTGTATCGATAACCGATTCTTTTTCAAGTTCTAGAAACCATTCTTTGAGAGAATCGATCGTTAGGATCGAATCGAGGATCGATTGTTCTCTATCAGCTATCAGCCAGAGTGAATAGGATATATTAACGGGACGAATTTAGTAAAAGTGGACTGGATGGAAATGTGTATCGCCTACCCAAGAAGGAAGATAGATATGTATTTCGTTCCCCGGTACGTAACGGTCGATTCGACGTGAAACAAAGCGGCGCGACGTTTTGTTCGCGTACGCGATCCTCCAAATTAACGTTCAATTAAAGCAGACGCAACGCGACGGCTGACCGTGCTAGCTACAACTGGCAGCCACATGGACGGAGAGGAACGTAGCTCGAAACGCAGCTCGAAACGCAGCTCGAAACGCAGCGCGCAAGTGCATCCAGCGAATTGTGCGTAAGAACGCGAACACTGGAAAAACCACCATCACTTGCCTGCCGCCCACTCAACTTCTAATAATGCCAGCTTTATGTGCAATCACCGACAAAAGGAGGATGCCCACCGAACGCATTCTTCTGCCCTGCTCGTTAACAACAACCGGGCAAAACATTACCTTTTTAACCCTTTTGTGAGCCGCGATCAACTCGATACGTTCGTTATGCATTAATAACCAACTATATTCTCAAGTAGTATATTTTCACCCTTAATTTTTAGATTGTCGCTGGCTGGTCTCGGGCTCTCCACGACCTCCTCGGATCTGGCATACCGAACAAAATTTACCGTAACGAGAGCGAAATTTCGACAAGTTTTTTTTTCGAACGGAAATACGCGTGTTAAGCTCGTTGTCTGTTATATCTACATACATATGTATACATACATACATATGTATACCGAGGCATTGCTCGTGGTGCAGGTAAAAATTAAATTTTTATTTTAATTAAGCTTTTAGGGAGAGGGATGTGGGGGAAGTTTTTTTTTTAAAGAAAAGACCACTTACAGTACAATTTAATATCAGTTAAATATATAAAGGAAATATTTTATTAGAAATAAAAGATACAAGGGTTAACCAAGTTTTAAAAATACTTATTTATTCGTTACTATTACACTGTTTCATCCTCGATACGTTGTTTTTCTATTGACAAATCCGTGAGTAATGCTGAAACAACTGGTTGTATTTCTTTTTTCTTTTTTTTTATGTTTTTTAGGTTCTATACCGCAAAGGAAAATCCGTTTTGTCTCTTTTACATATTTTGTAACCAGTTTCGTGTACTGGATCCGAGTATATGTCAATTCGTTAGCCATAAATTGCAAATTAATTATGTTTTAAATTATTTTACCAAATGCGCGCACACGCACACGCACGCACGCACACGCACACGCACACACACACACACACACACACACACACACACACACACACACATACGACGCACGCACACAGCTAGAGCAAAATGATGTAAAAATTGATTTAATCCCGTGATTAATATTAAAGGTAAGGTTGATAAGAATGAAAAAGAAAACCGACGACCAGTAGTTTGAATACGTAACAATCATGTATTTGTTCCGTCTTAATACTTTTCTTTATACAGTTTCTTCCAAAGGTATTTGCATTTATTGTACGCATGCATTGGTGGTGATGGTTGGTGGTGCTAAAATAAGAAGAAAAAATGTCGAGTGTGACCTCTCCCCTCGAACAGATTCATTTCGAAGAATCAGAATTGATGAAATGTTCTGTTGCTGTTGCTGTTGTTGTTGTGGTTGCAGTAAAATACAAAAGGAATGAACGTTGCGAAACAACTTGTACAGAATTTCATTTATTTGTCCAAAATGAATGAATGAATGAATGAATATATGTATATGTATTATATACATATACATATGTATATAATGGATGGTGATTCTCATAGTCTACACTGTTATGAGATCAATGTTCCCATAGTGCACACATCTATGAAACGTTGCAACGGATATAGACCGATTGTTTAATAAAGGAACATTGAACGAAATACATACCAGAATATTAAAATGGCGCAGTGGCGTTACTGAAAACAGATGTCATAAAATGGTAAACGTATCTTGGAGATTATTTGGAAAAGTAGACTTGTACTAATCGTGATTATTTTCTAGATATCCGTGTCGAAAGAGAATATTGGCAAATTGAAGGGTATTGAAAAAGCATAAATTCCACTAGAACGGTTGGCCATCGGCCAACTAACCCAGGCCTAACAACGAAAACGGATATTTATTTGACGCGATATGACTTTACCATTTAATTATCGAATAGAAAATTGGTCTAAAAACTAACCGGTCTTTGATCCAAGGCCGTCTATCTGAACCGCTGTGTCGTGTCGTGTCGTGTCGTGTCGTGTCGTGTCGTGTCGTGTCGTGTCGTGTCGTGTCGTGTCGTGTCGTGTCGTGTCGTGTCGTGTCGTGTCGTGTCGTGTCATGTCGTGTCGTTTCAAGAGAAAAAGATTCTTGTATCGTTCCAACGGTAGAAACGCAAAAGCCTGTAAACTGTAATTGGAGAGCAAAGAGCAAGTTGAAACGTGAGAATGCATTAAAGTTGAAAAGAAAAAAGATCAGGATCCGTAAGCAAAGTAAGCGAACGGCTTTTCAGTCAATTTTCCAACAAGTATATGTACCCCTTTGGTCTTGGAAGTTTCTCTCAAATCGAATTCTTTTCTTTGAGCAAAGCGTCGATATCTTTAAGAATATCGTCGGAGCCCATGTCCAGCGTCAGATAGTCGTCCTCGTTGATATTCAACAAACTGTCGCAGGAAGCCATAGTAGTAGTCTCCTTGGATTCGTCCGTGATGTTGTGTTTATCCACCGAGAGTTTCTCTTGGTTTTTATCAAGCTGTGTTTGATCCTCGTCCGTGCTACTGTCGCACAACCTGATCTCCACCTCGTTCCTTCTAGCTAGGTTGCTCGACTCTGACGACTGTGTTAGGTCTGGATTCAGCCTGTCCAATCCGATACTCGCTGCACTTTTCCTACTCTCGTTTTTCTCCTCTTCCATGCTCTTCCGTTGAGCTTTTATCCGAATATCGGTAAGGGTTGGCAACTCTTTGATTCTTATCGGTGAAGATTCGGTTAAACTCCTCCTGAGTTTCACGGGAGGCACACTGCTCCCGAACGAGCAGCCACTACTCTCCGTAACGTTATATTTCATTTTACGTCTGTTCGTATCGTCCTGGCAATCCTCGAGCGACCTCTTTATACCTCTGATCCCTCCGATCCCTCCGATCCCTCCGATCCCTGTCAACGTCTTTGTATCGTCCTTTGACAAACGTCCTTCTTTCGTCGGTTCATTTGTTTCGTCCTTCAACGGTGACTCTACCTCTTTCTCTTTCTCTTTCTCTTTCTCGAAGGTGGCTTTGTGTCTCTTTCTGCGTCGAATCTCTTCCAAACTGAGAACTTTAAAGTCCAAGCTCTTCTCTCCGTTCTCCTCCGTAGTTCCCAGCCGCGGGCTGGGATACTGAGAAATCTTTTTAGTCCGGCGAGTCTTGATCTTGCCAGCAGCAACGTCGCTACGATAGTCTTCGGTCTTGTAAGAATAATACGCCGCGCTCTCAGCCTGGATCTCCTCCAATCTGATCTCTTCGTAAGTCTTGCAGTAAGGAACCCTCGGTTGTGGCTTCACCGGCGACGGTACACTTTCATTGTCCGATTCTGGAAGAAACATAGGGCGAAATGCGAGAATTTATGTTACTCGTGAGTAGCGAGAGTGGTCCTCGATGCTGGTGGCCTACCACCGCGTACACAACCCCGTACACCACCGCGTCATTAATTATCCTCAGCGAGCTTTCCCAAACGTAATCTTCCGTATATATATCTTACATTATTATACTATTCAATTCGAACCAGTCCTCTCTCTCTCTCTCTCTCTCTCTCTCTCTCTTTTTCCAATATCCGATACAACACACCTGCCAAGCTTTACTTTTTTAACTTGACAATTTGTCGAGACTTGTGAGAATTCTCAAGAGTATATCAACTCTATTTTAGTCGTTAGCTATTATCCCTTCGCAGTCAACCATCCGCGTCTCTTCATTCTTTTCGTTACCTCTGCTCTTTAATGTACTTTAATAAGCAGCTTTGTCTATAACTCGCTAATTTTTATCCTAAGGGAATTATTCTATTTCCCATAGGAAATTATTGCTAGCAAATTTTTAAAGAGTCTATAATATTGTACAATTCCAATACTTTTATCGATATTTCTGTGGTACGATCAATCTCCGAATCTTTTTGCAACCAACCTCTCTGCATTCCTTTCCATCCTCTCTCCGCTTTTATTTATTTATTTATTTCTATCTTGTTTTCGTTTCATATATTTTTAACTTTCCACATTACTTTTTGATATTTACCTCGTTACAGTAGTCACAAGTGAAACTAGCGTGCCGTTTATGAACTTTACCAATTCCTCAAGTAGCAAGGAAACTGTATCATATTTTTTTATGCTTAAAATTTAATAAGGGAATCGTTATCGTCGTAGTCGTCAGTGTCGTCAGTGTCGTCAGTGTCGTCAGTGTCGTCATTGTTATCTCTTTGCATTTCTTTCTTTACTACGTTTCTCTGTAAACTTCCTTTCAAAGCTTCTCGTTTTCTCTCTCTCTCTCTCTCTCTCTCTCTCTCTCTCTCTCTCTCTCTCTCTAGCTTCACTTTCGTTTTCAGACTTGTCCACTTTTAGCCCTCTCCTCTCCCCTACCCTCCCCTACCCACCCCCCGCTCGCCCTCAATAAAAAAGAAAAAAGAAAAAAGAAAAAAATTGAAAACGCGTTTCAATAAACTCTGTGAGAATTTGCAACAGTAGCCTGTTTCCAAGCATCGATACTCTCGATGCGCACAAGCTTCTCCAGAAAAATTTTAAAGCAACAATCAATCGTATAATATCATCGTCGTGAAATTTCTTTTCCGTCAACAAAGCACAAACAATAACAACAGTATGAAATAATTCTGCTACATTTCACTTTAATTTCCATTTAATCAAACATTTCCTTCTCGAATCAAATTTAGATATTAATAAGTTAATAAACGTAAAATATTTGTCGTTTTCCAATTAACAATAAAATAATAATTTTCATCGCTCCTCGTGGTTCTGTCTTCTTCTCCATAGAACCATAAGATTACAAACGATCCAAGACGAATTACATTTAACGGACAACTACCGTTTAATATTTCCAATAATATTAACATTACGTTTCGACATAATGTTACTAATAAATACGAAACAACAATATCGACAACTATCTAACCGATATAGAGGCACAACTATAATAATCAGGAGGAAATTAACTGGCCGTTCGAGATCACCGAGGATAAATCACTTTGCTGATTTCACCGTTTTACTACTATCTCTACTATCCTCCGTATTTCCTCTCCTTGTATCACACGCACGATCAGTCTGTTTTTAATATACATATAGACAAGGGTTAACGAAAGGCCAATTAAATTTCATCCGAATGTAGTTTCTTATTACGGGGACAATAACAGAATGTTCGAAAATGTAGAAAAGAAGAAACGCAGGAGATTCGTTGCAGTCGTACCGGCGTTATTTTCCTTTCTTTTTATGGTATCAAGTTTATTAAAATCCAAATACCATCTCAATAAAAATTAATAATTTCAATTCGTTTACATAAATTCATATAGCAAGGAATTACGTGTCGCCGCGTATAATCGGTATATGTATAATCTCTCTTAAGTGAATCCCTCTCTGTCGAAAATACACAAGAAACATATTCTCGCATTTATTTCGCCGTTAATAGTTACGTAATTTTACAGATCGTTCAATCGACGCAACAACAATTTCTCTTATTGGTTATTCGTTACCGATTCGAGACTTTTTCCGTTCTGTTAAAACACTGATTATATGATCTTGAACAAACAAGTTGACGAAATGTTCAATGTTTGAACGACTGGAAATCACAGTTCTTGTACAATTGTTAAATGAAAAAAAAAAGAAAAAAAAAAGAAAAAAAAAAAAAAACAACGGCATATCTTCGTCAATTGTAATAAACAATATCGATGACGATGACGTTAACATCAACTATACTACCAACGATAGTAGTAACATAAATAATAGAAGCAAGGAGAAACAGTTTGGAAAAACGAAAGAAAGTGATACGATTGAAAGGAGCAACCATCTCCTCTGTGGAGGACGCGCGAACAATAATTGCAGCTGGACGCGCATAATAAGTAAATATTACGAAAAAGGAAAAACGCGAAAAGAATGACAACCGACACTATCAACTTTTTTAAATCGAAAAGATAAATCAACGCTTGTATCGAACCAAATTATTAAATGGTAAAAACAAGTATAGAAAATGTAAGAAATGTTTCGAGAACACGAGTATAGAACGATCGTATATTTAACAAAAAAGAAAAGAATGTAGTAAATTGTTTATAATCTTGATAAAATATACGAGAAAATGATGGCGGTAGCAATGGTTGCGATTATAATCACACAAATCGTCGATCAACTTTGGATTGTTACAGTCTAACGTTAAATGCATTATTTATTAGTTAAACATCGGCACGAACAAATTTTCGCTTAAATGGATACGATAAATAAAGTTATTAAGGTAATCGCCGGGAACATACGTCCAGCTGCTGATCTCCTTCCTTCTTCCCAACTATTATATAAGTTAGTACTGTTGCACTATTTTCTCTCTTATATTCACGCACACACGCACTCGCAAACAAGTTACATGCGTTACAGGCCGTGTTCCGTACAAAATAATTCTATTTCCTGACAACATCACAAGACACATCGAACGCAATTCACCAGTTTTAGCAAAACGAAACAATTATTCCAAATACGAACATATTTCCATTTCAAGCACCGTTCTCGTTAATCAGGTAGAAAGAAATACTAGTTGAAGAAATTTCATGAATGTAAATTTTATTTCATACTTTTCGCACGGCTTTCGCGCGGACGCTCTTTCGTTTCTCTAGTCGCAAACGCAATGAAAGAGTCCTTGAAAAACAAGTTTCACACAGCATCGAGACAACAATATCGAATATTTCTCAATCGATACAAAGGCCGGTGATTATAAATAACCGGTTCATTACTTTCGGAAATTATCTGTGACGCCATATCACATTTAATACATTCACGATTAAATTCATTAAGATTAGTTATCGATACAAACGAAGGTATCGGATATAAGTTAGTTTCCTAGCAAGTTCTTTACAATAGAAAGAAAGAAAAAAAGAAGGAGACAAAATGAAAGACAAAGTCTCTGTATCCTATCAAGTTTACATTATTCTTCCTTATAATATACAATCTCTGTCTCCGTTTCATTCGTGCACACTTTTATCCTTGTCCCTTCCATACCCTCTGACCCTTCTTCATTTTCATTCTCTCTCTCTCTTGCTCGCTCTCTCTTTCTCTCTCTCTCTCTCTGAATTTCCCAATCAAAGTACGGTCATATCAAATCTTTCATTTTCAAGTTACGTACAAAATAAGGATTTTCTGTCTCTGTTATCAGAAAATTTAAACTGCACGCGTGTACACCTCGTAAATGTTGACGTAATTTTTTTAACTGAAAATCTTTTTGACCGAACGAAAATAAATCGGCAGAAAGTGCAATTAAACCTAGGGCTCGAGACTATAACGTTCGATTTTACCCGTAAAAAATCAAAGACGCAAAAACATCCCAAATCCGTCGTTCATGATCGATGCTAAACACTCGATTACGTAGCCGACAATTATTCCTCGACCATAAATATGCCATTAGCGGTTCAATATATAATATCTTATTATGCTGTCGAGTTGTCGTAATAAAGATTACATTAGTTTTCCCTTATACCTCTCGTGCGGATCTAGGCGCAAATAGTAATTCGTAACAAAAATAATAAATATTGCAATTTGCATCCACTAGGACCTAGGACATTTTAATATCGGATACACTTCATTATTATTATTATTATTATTATTATTATTATTATTATAATAATAATATATTTTACCAACTCCTTTACCAACATTTGTTTTAACTAACACACAAGTAAAGCAACACGCGACTGGAACAAAATTCAAAAGTACTATTTAATACACCAAGTTCCGCTTTTGCTTCACGTTAAAAGTACATATTATGTAAATGTCTGTATGCATGCAATATTAAGTCGTATTTCTTTTCTTTAAAAACTCTCTCGCTCAAAGCAAGCGCTTGCTGCTCCCCTTATTCATTCTTCTTTCTTTTCTACATATACACACACGCGCGCGCATATATATATATATATATATACATGTAAGTATGTATGCGTGCGTGCGTATTCCATATATATACATAAATACATACATATACATATACATATACATATACATATACATATATATATATATATATATTTATATCTATATCTATAGTTATGTATTTGTATTATATGTATAATTCCATATTTTATCATTTAACCTTTTCTTCGTGTGTGTGATCTATACGTCGTTTTCAATACTCGAAATTGTCCTTTCTTTGCATGCTATCTTTATTATTCGATGAATCTAAAGCGATGACTGTTGAACAAAAATTAAACATTTCTATACCATGCAAGCTTTCGCCGATTGCACACTGATTAAATGACTCGTTTGTCAACTTGCTCGAGAAAAATCCGTTTTATACTCGTCGATGGAGTTTTTCAATTTTACGTTAATTTAAAAAAAAACAAAACAAAAAAAAACAAACAAAAAAACAAAAAAATTCACTCGATCCAGTACCTTTGTAATTTCTTTTCCATTCCGCAACGACACCAAAGTTTTTCCATCGCCGCGATAATACTTATTTATCGCTTTCAGCGGCATTAATTCACAATTGATCGCTATGTGATATACATAATCGAAATTAACATGTTCAAATAAAATTTGTCACAATTCTCCTTAACGCGTTCAAAACTACCATTTATCTCATGCAGCACGATTCGGTGTGACGTTCGCTTTTCCTTCAACATACATATTCGTATTTAATTTTCTCTTATTCGTTTTGTTAATGCAAAAGGTACAACGCAACGTTAGGACACGCACACTGTTGTAACAAATTTTCTCTAAATACAAAGTGTCGCTGTTATACGCTTTGTGTTATCCCATGCCGTTTCGACAATTCGCTAATTCGTGTGGAAAGCCAAAACATATGAAGGCATTATATGTATATCGATCGTATGTACGTGTTAAATTAAGGCTGGGATACGGTTCAATCGAATACTGCTTATCCTAAATATAAACTCATTGTGTTTTGTGTTCATTTATCTCGCCTTACATCTTTTCTTTCCTTTTCCTTTTTCTTTTTTAAAAGAAAGAATGTTACAATATATGTAGTAGGTCGCATGTTTTATTACACGCAATATTGCACAAAAACAAAAGCACGTGTGCGCCTGTATCTGAGGCAGTATTCGACTCGAATAATTGTATTCCTTTACTACACATTATTCGCTTCGAGATATAACCACAAGTCCGAAAAAGAAATACATCTTATTGATAGAACCTTTTCTTTATAATTGCTTTGCATTCACAAGTTATGCTTCAAACTCAAAGTATCATGTGTTTTTTTTTCTTTTCTTTTCTTTTTTTAATATATATATATATATATATATACTTTTTACACACACAAAAAAAAAAAACAAAAAACAAAAAAAATAGTTTCTTGTTCGAACGATTAAACAGAGACAAACACTTACAACTCAATCTTCATAAATAGAATTTTCACCCTACACATTCTGACGTTTAATTGATATAAAGATATCTGTGTGAGTCGAGTAGTGTGCGTGCGTGTGTGTGTGTATTTGGGGGGGGGAGGTGTAGGGTAGCAAAGCGACAACCTATAGCTATCTTCTTATTCATCCAGTAGTTTTCGTTTAGGTATCTTATAACACAATTACAGACTTGTTTTCTACTACGATATCCGGGAAAAATTCAAGGGCTCATATCGTACTGCCGCTGGAGAAAGATAGCCATAAGAAGTTAGTAGAGGGCTACAGGCAAAGTTTAGATATAGCAGCCCCTGGAGAAATTGATATTCAAATCTACGTTTTTTTATTGTTTTTTTTTTTTTTGTATTTTTTTTTTGTTTTTTGTCTTTTTTTTTTTTTTTACATACAATAAGATCATCGTATTCTTTTGCGACAACACGATTCTTCTCGATTGTTTTAATCGATCAAGTTATGACGATGTAACTAACTGTTGTCGGATAAGTGTTAACGTTAATCGCTATCCAATAGGCAACTAAACTGATATTAAGAATACAGTTTCATTGAATTAATCTAAATGTTGCATGTTATCCCTCTTTTCGGTGACGATGTAATACATACACTGTGTATACAAAATTATATGTGTAATCAATCATATTGAAATAACACGTACCGTCGACTACCATTTTTAAGTGTAATGTACACAAATGTTTGAAACCATCTTTTAAAGGAATCTTTCATGTATCGATACGATTTCACGATCATATTTTATCCAATAATAAAGACAACGATATAGACTACCTATTGCTTCTTTCTACATTTTCTAAACTAATAAAACATCTTGCACGTATATTCTTTTATAATTTTTTTATTAAATAAATAGAATGAAAACTATTAATATTTTATGTATCAATAATTTGAAGTAGTGCAGTCTTTATTATTGAAAAGGCAATTGGAAACATATTTTACGAATTTACGATAGATTAACGCGTGTGTCGGTCACTAGAAAAAGCCATTACTATCAGCAAAATATTCTGTAACTTTTCAATCACACTTATGCGGTTTAATTAAGCGGGTTTTTTTTTCTTTTCTTAAGGATATACTTCTTTTTTTTTATGGTTTCCTTGTAACAATTCACTTTCTGTGAAATAAGTGAAGCGAGGATCGATCAAGTATCGGAAATGTACCAACATTCCTGGTGCTCAATCAATATAAAAGTCTGCAATAACCTTTTTTCGAAAGCAGAAAGTAGATTTTACTTTTACATATCAAGTAATCGTATATGTTTATTCTTTTAAGAGCAATATCTAGTTTAATATAACTTTATATCTGTTTTCTTCTTCTTCTTTTTTTTTTTTTTCCTCGGTATTTCTATCAGTGTACTTTTCTATGCTGGTTGACGGGCGATGGAAATTTACATTGTTACAATCAGAGTGTTCGTTCGAACTTTAAAATCGTTTATAGGATGTCATTTCAAAATATGGAAAGGGAAATCTTGACGTTTGAGGCTGAGAAGTTTGTCGTGTATGGATAGGCGAGTACGGCGGTTGTTGAAGGAGCGGAGAATTCTGTTGATTTTGTAACGGTGATAACGATTGGCCAGGAGAATGCGAATGCAAATTTGGCGGATGAGAAAACGATAGTGCATGATGACAAGGGGAAGTCTGCGAATTTTGTACACTGGGTTGCGGTACGTTTAAATTGTTCGTGACATTGATATTATTTAGAATGTTGAGACTATTAGAAACGTTATTAGGGATTGTCAGGTTGCTTGGTATACTGAGCGTATTCGGAATATTTATACTTGTTTGCAAATTGGGTGGAAGGGAGAGAGTAGCCGATGCAAGGTAATGTACGCTGAAAGATGGACGGGGGGGCTAGTAAAGCCTCATACCTTCTTCAAATTTGACGATAAGAGGATCAACGGCTGGACTGCCAATAAAACTGCCCGCTTCGCTACTTCCTCTACCTTGATCCGACTCCGTACTATTACCATCATACTTTGTATCATCTATCAACGATAGGAGAATAATTAAAACTATACACGGGGATAGAACGGGGATAAATTACGTAACGCTAGAAACGCAGCTAAATATGCTTACCTTGACGATTTAACCATTCTTGATTTAACGACTTTGATGTTAATTCGGAATTCTTCACTGGATTAATAGGATCGCTAGTAATTACGCGAGCATTCTTATGCATAAACGAACAATGCGGTTTTCTACAACCTCCAGGCTGGGTCTCCCAATAACATGGAATCGACTTGCGATTTTTCTAATCCAACAACAGAAAATAACAATCTTAATAATTTCTTTACTTTCTTTGGTGAACTTTGGTCGCGTACGTAGCCGAAACATACTTACTTTTAATTCCATATGCCTAAAGTTACAGTGTTCGTCGAGACATTTACCATGTTGCCAGTACGTGCACATTGTTTCACAACCCAAGGCAGACGGTTCATGTCTGAACGGGCAATGGTCACCCTTTGAACACAATCGTAAATCAACCAATAAATAACAAATAACGAAATACAAGTATATTTTTTTAATAGAAAAATACTAATAAAAGAATAAAGCCGATACAAGTTTAACGTACGATTATCATAATAGTTGCAGTGCTCGTTGTAGATATCAATACTGCATGATGGTACGAACAAAAGATTTTTCAATTATTCGAATTAAATGTGAAATACTATAAATCTTTGATCAACGTTCAAAGTATTATCAATAAAATCGGATTTGTACAAGTGCGAGAAAAAAAAAAAAAGAAAAAAGAAAAAGAAAAAAAAAAAAAAAAAAAATGACAAAATCAAAGCACCTTAAAATTATTTAAAAGACAATTAAAAGACATTACATAATACTTAAGTAACATTGTAATATGTTTCGAATTAATTTGTCAATTATTTGAAAAAGAAGGGTATCGTGAAACCTGGCTTCAACATGGCCGATCTAACCTCGCGAATCGAACAAATCAGAAACAATATGGAACAAATTTACGAAAGATTTAGAGTTTTATCGGGACGATCGAACACGACGAACATTACGTTTGTATCGTTTGTGAGAAAAATTTACCTTTTTGCACGTAGAATAATAGAAAAAGTAACAGTCGGTATTCTCGTGACCGAACTCCATTTGCAAAAACTGATAAAAAGATTGAGCGATCGTGTTCCTTGCTGAAACAGAAAATATTTCAATTCATCGACGTAATCAACAATCATAAATAGTTAAATAAAATGAGAAAATTGAACATAAAACGTTACCACTTGGCAGAAAACACGATTAGAAATTAATGTATCTTGTTTGGCCGCTAGTTTCAATGTTATCGGATATTCTCGCTTTGAATTTGAAACTTTTAACAACCACAGGTATTTCAACCGTTAAAACTGACCTTTTTTCAACCTGTATTAGTTGTGTACTCTTTACTTACATGTGGTGGCAGCGATTCCTTGGGTGACTTCTTTTTTGCCCCTTCGCTTTGACCCACACACTAAATCGACTCGCACACAGATTCAAGTAAATAGTTCGACCGTAGCACTTGTCGCCCCTTTCGTTGTAGACGCTATTCAGTAATAGATACGATGGCGTAAACTTACGAAGAAATGCGAAGACACACGACCGTTTCCGCGCTTTTTCGACATCTATAGAAACAATTTATTAAAAATATCTTCTCGAAATTTCATTCAATTTACATTCGACCGAAACACCTTCGATACAATGTATCTCGGTTAATGATTTCCAATTCAACTGTATATTTTAAGTAACAACCGTGAAATACGTTCGTACGAAAATAAAGATACAAAAATTTAACGATTTTCGTAAGGGGAAAAGATCGTCGTACGTGCGTGTCCCACGAAACCGAGTCGAAATCATAGTTACATGTTAGAACAGTAGTAGGGGATAAAAAAAAAAGAAGATATTTCATCGGGTGGAGGGAGTTGAACGCGGTTTTCATCGTTAAAGTTCTAAGTTCAAAAATTTTATTTTATTATGAATTTAATTCATAATCAGTCACAAAGTTTCTTATTATTCGTAAGCGATAGTACATGTTTTAGAAGAAATACATATACACAGTTTAGAAATGATACAAATATTCTTTTCAATAATGCTATAGTATTAGCAATAATTAATAAAAAATAGTATTAACAAAAAGGAAGCATTTAAGATTACACATTACTAACAAAACCACCGGATTATTAGTTTCCAACGTATAACAATAACATATATATATATATACGTATACATATACATATATGCAATAATTATAAATATGTAATACATTTAAAAGTTACAGACTTTAAACAACATTACTCCAACGTTACTCCAAATAAAACGATAAACAAAGTGAAATGTTTCATATTTCGCATGACAAATATACTGCATAAATTTAACGTCCAAAATGGATGAAAGAATCCTCTAGGATTTCTGTATTTAATTCTTACTTGTATCTTCAAATGTGTATGTAACTTATGTACATGTAATTTTAAATACATATACAGTCATTCATTTTTTTTTTTTCTATCGTATGCATCGAACATTTTTACGCAACATGATGAAATTTAGAAAACAGAGCATATTTATTCAGAATAATTGTCACGTGATTGTAATTTCACTGTTACAAAAGTCATTTTGGTAACAATCATTTTTTCTACGGGGAAAAAAATCTCCATTATCTGCGAACAAAAACATTGTAATATTTCTAAAAATATTTCACGGAATGTGGACTTTTGGTATATTAAATGTCAAATAGAAAATGGTAAAAAACTGAGATAGTGTAACATTACGGTGAACAATCACGATAAATGTTCAATTCTGCCGAGTTATCGAACATTAATCGCGATATTTTTTCAGCATAATTAATGCTTGTACATTACAATATATTACATATGCGTGTTTCAAAGAAATTGTGTTAATTTTCAAGTATGCGCGAATAAGTACGTCATGGTAGAAAAGAAACTGTTTTAGAAACCGAACTCTGATGAACATGAGAGAAAATCACTGTTTTACGAGAAATGGATTAACCAGTCACCTACTCGTGAAAATAAAATTTTTATCGGTAAATAACATGAATATATCACAAACGACAAATTATGTCAAAATTCATATCAATTCATCATAGTATATCAATAGTAGATTACGATCTTTCTTTAATATAGTTTATAACGATCATTTGCGAAGATTCTACATATAGATACGATTATAAACGTTAATCAATGTTTACCATTATTCCAGCAACAATACGAGGAATAACACAATAACATTAATTTTACAGTCTTATAAAAAGATTCCATATTATCGCGGTATACATATACATACACGATAGTAGACATTTTTATAACTGTTCTATAGTTTATCAAATAATGAAATCAATCATTGCAATGTTACGTATAAATATAAAGAATTTGATATTTTCATTCTGAAACTAGACAATCTATTCATAGGTTCAAACAACACATCATTCGGTATCTATCGGTATCATCTCACATTTATAACATCATACACTGTTGTACTCTTTCGCTCATTGTCAGTTAAAATTTATTTACGAAAATCGTCAAAACATTCAAGACAAAGAGAACAGAAGCGTCCGTAAAAAATTTATATTCAATTCTTTGTTCATATACCAGATAACAATCACTACTATGAAATTAAAGATGTATTGCAGTGTCTTGACTAGCATTCTATACTTACATTATGTACGTTTCATATTCATATATGTAACAAATATACATATACATACATATTAGTGGTGCGCGAATGTCCCGAAACAAAGCTTCGAACCGTTAAGTAATCGATGAGTTCGGGTGGAGCCCGATACATCTCGGGATCGATTTGGGGCGGACAATATCAAAGCAATTAATTCGTGATACCTGCACACCCTACATACATGAAAAAGGTGTTTCAAAACGACAATAAGTATCGAAACAAGTCAATTCCTTATGCAAAAGGACATGATCGGTTTTCTACTGTGGTTCGTGGATTTCGCAGGATACACATACACACGTACTTATGTATATGTATTTTTCCTTTTCCTTTCAGTCCTTCGAGACGTGTGTCCTCGCGCATGGTGACGGCCGCCCTCGTTGCCTTTACATCAAACTCGGGCATATCTTGGATCGGATTTATTTTCGCACAAGGAATTTACATATTTCGGTTTGTTTTATGGTTTTTAAACACCCCGCGTATACATACATACATACATATACATGTACATACAGATGGATTACCTACAAGCGGACAATAATTTAGAGGGTGAATTTAATTTATATCAGGTGAAGATTGAGAAAAAGTTTATGCAACTTTTTGGAATTCTTTTTTTGTGGTTCGTAATAGAAAGACGCCTTTGATTTTTTCTAAATTTTGCCATGCAACGATAGAATGGGAGAAAATGCAGTAAAACGTGATTTTCAAATTCTACTCGATACTACTTACTGCATCGAGAAAGAAGATTAAAACTTGGCACACATTGTTCTTTCTTTAAACACGATCCATTGCAACACGAACTTGGTTTCGAAGAACATTTCTGGCTCCGTTGCTCGACCGCTGCTCTCTTTGTCTTATAATCACAATACATTCGATCACTATAATTTCCTTGTAAATCTTGAAGTAAAACAGCTTCAAACTCAATTTCACACCCTTAATTATTGCGTGTACCTATAGATAAACAACTGTATATACATTATCTTTGTACATATATATTACGCCATCGAGTAATTATAGTATAGTTACATAGCTATTGATAGTGTTTGTAGAATTAATTTCTGATTCTCAATGAAAATATTAAACGTCGATTAATATTGCCATTACTTATCGCCTTGTACTCGATCATAGTAGGAAACATCATACTCGATGCAAGTGCATCTTAGAGAAATGGATGCTTGCTCAACTGTTAAATTGTGAACAAGTTGAATGCCAGTCAGCAACGCACTCATGGTAGTGAATAGACAGGGCGAGTCACATAACTTGATTACCCTTATTATTTCTGGCATCAGGGAACCGATACACATAATACATCTTTTCCGTCTAGGATAGTTTGGTTCGAAAATATTCTGGAAATTGATCGCAACACATTATCCGTAAATCGTTTCTGAATGTTTCTAGCAAACAGGAGAACATATTTTTCCATCAGAACGAAAGACACAATGAAACGAAAATGTAAACTTGTCGGTATTTTGCGTGATTGATATCGTAGCATCGTGGAAAACGGTGAAGCTGTACTTACGAGTATTCGATACGTGGGTGTATTCGTTTCTCGAAGGAAGAATAGATTTTCAAACATTTACCTATATTACCTATCTTTCAGTTGTACAAGTATCATAATTTGAATACTTCCGAATAACGACAGCCCACGCGCCTTAAATATGTACCGGTTTTCATCATGTATACATGTGTGTCTTTAGTTCTGATCGTAAAAGAAATATTTTCTGGCGTTTGCTGCGCATTCGTTATCGTACCTGTCGAAAAACGTGGAATTCCATTAAAAAAAGGCTAAAAGTAATCTCGAACACTCGTGAAGAAATAACTTATTAATTAAAATTTGTACAGGCTTGGTATCGAACTATCCAAAGCAAAGAATATTCTAATTGGTCCAGAAAATTAAAACGATCTCGTCATTTCGATCACCGTGTACCAACCAAATGAAACGACAACAAACGATAAAAATGGTTTCTTTTAAGAAATTACGATAGGCCTTTTAATAAATTTAAAATAAACTCCAACCATCGTTGAATTGAAACGAATGGAAAAACCGAGGCATACCAATATAAATGTTCACTTTGAATATTATGAAAATTACTTTTAAATTATCATAATCATAATTATTATTATGATTTATTCGAACTACAACATTTTGAACAATCAAAACAACTGGTATGCTATCTTTTAGTCGACCAAGATGCACGAGTACCACCACTTCCAATTACTTGATTTTGAAGGTCTGTTATCGTTTCTTGTAAAACTTTCTTTTCCCGCAAAAGCATCTGTATATCTTCTCGTGCTGCGTTTAAATGTAACTTTATCGTATCAGATTCTTCTTTGATACGCATCAATTTTGCATTTTCTTGCGATAACTTTTCCAGAGTATCAAGACGACGTCGAAGTTCTTCATTGTCCGACTTTAATCGTTGACTGGATTGCCTCAGACTGTTTAATTCTATTTCTCGATGAACATTTTGGACCGTTTGATTATCACTGTTTGATAGCGTATCAAGAGAATCGCTCCTACTCAACACACTTGCTGGAAGCAGAATATTTTGCTCAGGTAAATAACGAAAGGAATTGGAAAAATGAAAATTTGTTAAAAACACGATTGAATATCGCAGTAGCGAACCGATGGTAAATAACAATCTATTTTATCGACTAACGTAAAACGAAACAAGTACCACCACGTTACGACTATTCACTCATGCTGATTTATAAGTCGTCTTCTCTATAAATCATGCCTAATTAAGTGCACATTTATTAATTGGTGGTTCTATTTGACATTACGGTCGAAGAAAACAGCAAACTCTAAACTCTAAAACTAATTTTCTAATTGCGTTGTATCAATGCTCACATTAGAACGATCATCCGAACGCACAGAACAATTTCTATAATGTAATTTAAAAGCCTGCTGAAAATTTTAGTGGCGTATTAGCGATATCATATTTATAAGAAGACATTATAAGAACATATTGAACGTTGTTTAGAGCAAAGTAAAAGCAAAGAGTAGAAATTACAAGCGGCGAATAAGAATAATAGAATAATCATTTTAGATCGTTCCTTACCGACTGGTTCAATATGGAAAACACCGTTATCATCTCTCACTATTCTAAGCTTCGAAATATTCAGATCTATAGGAATCGGTCCTGGCGAAGTTATATTATTTGGAGGACGATCTTCGTTCAATTGCAACGATATACTCTCTAGATATATCTGTAATAAAGATTGTTGAAATTTAAAAATGTAGGTATGTATCACGGAGTATAATAGATATATTTCATGCGTGAACCCAACGAGCTAAATTTGTTTGAATAAGATTGTAGGTATATGTACCTGTATAGGTATCGGCTTGGGTATAATTTCATCTTCGATCAAGTCTGTAAGTCCAGTTATGGAACTCATCGACAAAGCCATCGTTACGTTAGTAGCCTTAACATCGATTTTATCTTGAAACAAATCCAAAACGCTTTCTTTATCGTGCACATCGATATTGCAAGCATCTATTTCTTGGTTGGTAATGTTACTTTGGTACTGGGACGAATGGACTTTTTTGTGAATCGTGGTTTGGCTCGCTCGAGACAGTTTATACGAATCTGATTTTGATTTTAAATCATGATCCAAACGTAGCTTAACGCACGATCTACAGTTCGAATCGGAAGGTAATTCAACCCAACCTCTAGATCGTGCACTGAATTTTGTCTAGTGAACAAAGAACGTTAAAAACGATATAAATTTATATAGATATGTAGAAACGTAGAATAGGAATTGTTTTTAAATTTACCACAAGAACGTTCAACAACGCGATACATCGTGACAGAATGTTTCTGTTTGCGTGATAGATTTAAAAAAATTCCAACTGCTAACATTTTCGATAAATTTAAGATCCTACAACAACACCCAAAAGTTCTACCAATCGATCGAGAAATTCAGCGAAAAATCAAAATCTCTAAACAAAATCGCACACAATTCATATCAGCTCTTACACAGCTCTTAACAGCTTTAAAATAGATTTAGCCAACATTTACATTTATAGTTTCTGCTGCGTGAAATTTGAAGATTTTTATAATTAAGATTGTTGACAATAATACGTGTATCAGACTTGCATAACAGTAACATAATTTAGTAAAAGAAATATATGTGCAACGGAACATATGCATTACAAGGCATCTAATACAAACAAATATATGAATATTTTGCCAATACCTTCCTCTTCACCTGCCACAAGTGCCACATAAAAACATTCACAAGAGAAGGAGACGCAGGAGAGGCATGCAAAAAAGTTAAAAGACAAATATTGTATAAATATATATGTGTATATATATATATATATATATATATATATATGTATAGTGTATGTATGTATGTATGTATGTATGTATGTATGTATGTATGTATGTATGTATGTATATGTATATATAGTATGAAATGGTTGTAACGTATGCGATCGAAGCTAAAAATAAAATGTAAAAGTTTCTCCGTGACATAGACGGAATTAGTATAAAAAGTTAGTCGCTAGTTTCAAATATAATTGTATAAAAAAGAATCGATCGTTGATCGAATACCGTGAATGTATTAAAACCCGATACCGAAAGCACCTGGATAAAATGCAATTGAAATTTAAAGACGATACTTTGTCGAAAGAATAAATTTGTGCAAATTAAAGAATGATCGATGCTCGATAATTTAGTCCGATTGCTAAAACAAATATAATTGTTTAGACTATAAAAAGCAATTTGTGTAGTATAGAAGTAGACTTGGAATTTTGCTAAAGAAATATTATAGAAAAGAAATACTAAAGTACGATACAATATTAATTACAAAGACTTTGAAAATTGTTATATTTTGATGTGTCAGTTAAATGAAAAATAGCATAATCGTATGCCATGAACGACCAAAAAGTTTTGATTTCTCCGAAAGGATAAAATTTCTGTTACCTGAAATTCATCCCATGGAATCGAGGAACATTCATCATTGGCAACATTTGTAACTTGGACTTTAATGGTAGACGCATATCCGGAAGATTGTTGGATAAATTCAACTTTGGACAATTTAAAAGTTACCATAGATACCTTGGAAAGAATCGTAGTCGATGAATTAGAAAACAGTTGGAGGAATTAGAAAACACTTGGGAACTTACAATATCTTTTCGTTTACACACGCTATCCATGGATTTCTCACTTTGAGTATCAGGAGTTTCTTCGACTACTTCACTAGCCTCCTCTACCGCTGTTATTCTAATCGTATTATCGACAGCAAACATCGCATCCAATTTCTCTTGATCTTGAAGACTGATCAAGACATAATTCTCACAATCGGAACTAACGTCGCTTCTTATAGATACCGTATCGCTGCTACCATCTTCCGGAGACGCCTTCAAAGCCGAATCGATCGACGTCATTAAATTACTGAAACCCTTTTTCATAGATGAAAAACCGACGTTGAAATTATTCGGAATGAAGGGTGTATTGGAGGTCGAGGAGGAGGAGGAATCTCCTTTACTATGTTTATGCGTAGATTCGGGAGCATATCGCACAGTCGGTAATGCTCTTTCTTCTTCTATGCCAATGCACTGTTTCTCACGGGTCGTGTTTCCTAACATTTGCTGATCCTGTTTATTAGCGCCATTCTGTTTAAACGTAACAACAGTTTGAGTCGGATTAACAGAATGTACGAAATCCATCGATAACATCGACGATACTTCACTTTGCGGCGTCGCTACGTCATTAGTTATATTCATTCTTTTGCCGCTATAATCAGCTCGTTCCGTGTTACTTTGCCACGGGGTAGACGAACTGACAATCTCATCGACTATACTAGAAGAATCAGGCATAACCGATTCTAAATCTCCTCCAGAATTTTCTTTACCGGGAGTATGCGATGGCATGACAAAAGTCACTTCTAGTTGCGGTATTAGCGCGCCAATAACAACCGAATTATCTGAATCAACTTTTAATATTTGATTGGAATCGATGGTCAGGTAGGTTGCCATCTCTGATAAAACTTCCGATAATCTCAATAAAAACAAATATTGATAATGATTTATTTGCACGCTAACTAAATTGCTTACGTACGCAAGAGCACGAATATCAGCGATCGAAGATTTTTCGGAATCCGATGGGTTCGCCGATACGTAACACCATAAAGTTAAAGGGAATGCATCAAGAAACGGGACAGGACGATTCTGTCCGACCGCGCGGGCACCAAAGAAATCTCCCCAAACAGGTTCCAAATTACAACACCACACATCTTTAGCTTCCATCCATAAAAGTTCTCGATGTAATTGACGAGTTAATTCATTGACGGAATTACTAGTGAAATTGGGTGGTGGGTAGCGAATATTATCGGTGGCTAAAATAAATAGATACAGTCTGTTAAATATGAAAAATTACATGTACGTAATTATACATGTAGGTAATTGTAATTGTAATTGTAATTGTAATTGTAATTATACATATACATATTATATATAAATGTTAGGTAACGTGTAAAATTGTTACCCGCACAATGCGCCAAGAATTTGTCCGTTACAACGTGAAAATCGTTTGGTTTGTTTGGAAATTCCGTACCAAAAAACATCTGACCCATTTGAAAAGCGTTCAAACATTGGGCTAAATCTGCTCTCGAGGATCTTTCCGTCGAACGAACATTCGTTATCGATGCTCTCGCAGTCTGAATATGCAATGATTTTGGCCTGTCTTTTTGATTCGGATAATCCTGTTGACTTTCAAAAACTATCTGAAAATAGTAATCGCATGATAAAATAATGACACTTTAAACGCTATACTATACAGGTATTATACTCGGACACCACTTACTCTTGGAAGTATGGCTTCAATTTTCACATCAAAGTACATAAAGTTAGTGGAAGCGTGCGTCGTTTGCGTATCTTTATTCATCAAAGACTGATGTAAGTTTAGTAGAAAAGAATTAAACCATAAACAGGTAGAAACATCGAAGTTTACTTGAATAGGATTTAGTTGTACGTAAAATTTTGGCGGCGGCACTAAACGATCAGAAAATGGTTTTAATTTCTAATGGAATTTTATTGAAAAATAAAAAATAGTAGAAATAAGAGTTATACGTTTACCTACATGGAAACGTAATATCACCAGGATAATAGTAATACGTAAATTCAGCATGAAGAATCGTTACATCTTCCGGGACGCAGAACCTGTCTCTTTCGCCTGACGAAAAGAAAAAAGGAATAAGTATTTCAGGAAAGAGCACCGTCTTTGCTAACAGAGAACTAACTATACGAAGGAACAACAGAACTCGTCAACACAGAAAACCGCTATTTATATTTAGCATTTCTAATTAAATAATAACAGTAGTAATAATATTGGTACGCTACAACTATTAATAATTTATACCTGTTGCATGTTTTTTCCTTGTCGGAGCTGTGCAATTTTTAAACGAAACGATTATTGATTATCGTACAAGCACTTTGTGCGAAAAATATTTAAAAAAAAGTTCACGAAATAAATTTATACACGCGTTAGAATATTTCTACATGTGTACATACCTGTAACGAACTCTTTCGGTATAGGATTGCGAGACGTGGTCGTTACTTTGAACAAAGTAAAGTCATCGATTCTTATTATAATACACGTGGTCATCAATTTAGCGAGATGTTCCAAAATATAATTTTTTACAGGATTACCACTGGGCTGTTGCGATTTTTTTTGTTCGTGAGAGGTTGCACTCGCATTTGGGGCTTGATTACCTTTCTCGAAATTTTCTCCCAGCTCTTTCGTATTGCTAACTATACGGAAAGAAAAAAAAGAAAAAGAAGAGAAATTTTACAACGTTACACGATCACACGTTCGCGTACATATTTTTCTTTTACCTGTAACATTTCCCTGGCTTCTGGTCAAAGGCGAATGCTGCGTTCTACCAGAATCGATGAGATCCATAAACTGACTTCGAAACGAACTCAACGACTGTTGCAACCACTGACTGTGAGGCGTAGCGTTCTCCCTGTATTTAGCCCAATGTTTCCGATCAGACATCGCCAAATGATACGGATAATAATCAATTTGAAACCTGATTAACGAAAGTTTCAGAGCAGCACCGTCTTTTAAGTCAGGATGGGAGGACCTACCACCTAGTCAGAAAGCGGACCACTATTACGGACGACTATTACGACCAACAATGATGAAAGTTGTAGATTTACTTACTGCCGGGATCGTCGCACAAATGCAAATCAATTCTTTGACAAAGGAAATGATAAGACGTTTCGACGACATCATATCTGCTGAATATTTTTGAAATAGCGGTATTATATTCATTCTTTTTTCTCGATTGTTGAGATACTTGTGCTTGATACTCTGGCAATACCTAAACAATTCAAAGTAATACATACGATGAAAAGAAAAGACGGTAGAGATGTTAATATTGTTTTCAAACCGTATATTTACAAACCTCTAATTTTCTAGCAGCTTTAGTTTTACGTTCTAGAATCGTAGCTTTTTCCACGAGGCCACCCAACGAGTCGATAAAATGTAACGCCGCCTTCAACTGCGAATCCGTTAGAACCCATAGAAGGTCGTCCAATATAAGAATCAGTCTGGACCCCATAACGAAACAATCTAAAATACATATATATCGCTTTACGCTATCGTATTATTTTAAATATATAGAAAAATGTAGACGGATAACGTAAGAAAAATACGTATTCGCGTTAAACCTGATATTCTTTTCTTGATAGTGATTCGGCATCTCGCACGATTCGTAAGCAAACGTAACGGCGTAAGATTCTTGTCTTTAGTACTTTGCGCCTCTATTCTAACCGTTTGCCACTCCAGTTCTTTAAAAATAAGTAACTGTCCGCGATCCGGATCTTTCAATCTGGTCGTTATTAAATCGCAACGTTGCCACGACGCAGACTTTGACTCGACGACGATATGATTCATCTGAAAGAAGAAGAGTTAGTTTCGATAACCATCGTGGTCGAAATAATTCGGTGAACGGTATAGGAATACGAATACGAGAAGAGAATAAAGTTTAAGAAGAAATCGGTCGGTAATAACTATACCTGAACAGAAGCGATAAACGCAGGACTTTTAAACGTAACCGACACGGTATTAACAGACACCGTTATACCATCGATCACCTTGTGTATAAAAGAATACTTTGTAGGACCTACGCACGAAGACAGTCCTTGCATGGAAGATAAGTTTCTCAAGTCTTCGCACGTTTCTACTTCTATATGAACTTCATCCAAACTCTGGAAATAAAGAAAACTTTTAATATCGACGCAATTACATTTATTTTTTTCTATCGAACATTTAGGTAGAATAAAGAAATTAAGGTGGGAAAAAAAAGAAGAAGAAATTGATGTAACGTACACGACTACGTATATACTTGTAAATATTATTTACCAAAAAAATAGGAACGCTTCTTAGTTTGGTCCATTGTATACGAAAGGAAACTTTATTACACCAAGCATTGGTTAATCTGAGCCAGGACGGCAACTCTAACAAATCCGTTAAAACCGTTTCATCAAGCTCCAAATTTGTTAGTTCACCTTCCCCTTTAAACGTACTTAAATTTATTTTATCAACCGACAGATTCTTGGTAAACCTATAAATTTATATAAAAATCGTTCAACGAACATTACATTCGTAATATAATAAAATATCACGGTCCTTTTTTTTTTTTTTTTTTTAACAATAAAGTTCGTACGCGCGCCTAAACTAGAACGTAACATATCGTAATGCGTATAGCGCAGACACAATAACAGAAGATGATCGAAAGCGTTATAAAAACGCAAGACTTTGTTGCTCGAGTCACAGTATCTTTAAAACCGTCGCGTTAACAAAGGGAAACGAGAATAAGTTACTAGTAACCTAATGGCAACGAAATACGTCAACGAAATACGTTAAATGAAATTATCCACGTAGAGAAACATTAAGAAAATCTCTTGAAATTAATCAAGTGCGATAAATTTTTTTTTTAATAGCGTATTAAGCCGAAGGTAGAACGAATACGTTTAACAATCGAACCATGTAAATACCTCGACAGATATTTCAATAATTGGTTCTTTAATAACGACACCATTTTGTACTACTTTCAATTGGTTTCTACAACGTCTAACGTGCTCTTCGACATGGTTGATTGGACACTTAATATTTTCACTGAACTAAAATTCGTTCATACATGCCACGACAATACGACATTCGACAAGAGACAAGTACGAAGATCACCGAGGAGTTTATAGATAACTATAGATAGGTATTTCCCGAGGTTCAAACAGGGCTTTGTGCAGCGTCACCTGTTTCTTCCCACCAAGAATTAAACAGGACGAAGAGAAACTTCATTCTAATACAAATTTCTTTCTTCTCGGGCACATACGCAGTACTTGAATAGTAATTTACAACTGTTACGTCGGGATTCCGTCGGCATTGGTAGACTCCTTTCTAACCTAATCGTTCCTACACTCAACCCTTCCAGCCCTAACCTCAAAACACCCCAGGCTAGGAAGTTTAGGTCCGGGGTTGTTAGGCCTGTGGCGTCGCCTCCCATGCTCGCCACCAGAGGAGTTCAGAGGAGTCGCGCTCTCAGAAGCGATCGAGCGAGCCTTGCCGATTAATTTGCTTTAAACTTTCAATGCATGAGTAACTTCCTAGTTACTCCCGCAGATGGCGCGATTGGCGCCGATGCCAACCGTTGAGAGAGGCCGGGATGCTATAGGGAATTTGTCCCTAGGTACTCCCTGGGGCCTCGAGAGACAAGAGAGAATCAGATTCAGGAGGTCTTCCCCGAGCAAGCCTGAGAGACGGTCCAATAATATTATGTGTTTTGATGTATTCATGTATCACTGTTACGTTAATGATTTCAGTTAGTGCATCATTAAAGAATACCCGTGTAAGCCGAGGTAAGATTTTTGGAATTAAATTTATTTTTAAACAGAATTTAGTGATTCGAAGGAATGGTTTCTACCATAAAATGCTCATAAAAGCTGTTAAATTTCTTTATCGATTTACCCCATGTATAATGTTTATCGAAGAATCCACCAAACTTTTTGATAGAATCCGAGTTACGAACGTACGCGACGCCGAGGGTGGTATCGCCACCAGAAGAATCTTTAGCGGAAAGGTAAACTTAAATAAAGTGCGAATAGAAAATGTTAATACTAATTACAAAAATGATCGCTAATTGTTCCGAACATATGTATTTTAGAGAAAGTCTCATCGATCATTTACAGCAAGAAAATAGTCGCCAGAGACAAGAATCGCATCGTCTACCGATGGATCATCAACGAATCACGGAAGAGCTTCAGAGTCGTGTCATGCAACTTGAATCGGGTTTGCTTATTAAGGTAAAAACGTTTTAATTAATCATTAACATTATGGTTTAGAAAAACAGTATATGTAACAAGTTGTTTTTATTTTTTAGCGCAATGAAATTGTAGAAGAAAAACAGGTAAATGAGGACTCTCTTAAACAAAAAGCAGACACATACATACGTGTACATTTATATCGCGATCTAATATAACTTGTCTGTTATGTTTGTGTAGAAAAGTATTTTGTTTTGGAAGAGAAATTTCAGAAATTGAAAGATGTATATGGAAAATTAAGAGAAGAACATATCAGTTTAATCAGGAAGGTAGGAATATTGTAATTTTCATAGTTTTTAATATCATAAGAAAATATTCATGGTCGTTATGTGTATCCTCGTATGTAACAGAAAGCCGAAGTGGAGAAGCAAATTGGGTTATTAAAAATGTGAGAAGAAAAATCGGAACGCCGACTGGACGAGTTAATAGAAGGTGAAGATATAACTGAACAGGAAGCTCGAAAAGCTATCGAAGGACAAGAGGATATGGACGATATAAAAGAAGAAGTAAATACCACGATAGGTGAAAATTTGGTTAATACCTTTCTTTTACTAGATTTACGGTTATATTTTATTTTTATTTCGTTCCGGTAAAAGTGTAATATTTTAGGCGTTGATTGGCAAAAATGATTTTACAACTTGTAAAAAAACGGCTTTAGGGTGAAAATAGACCCGCAGAACAGGGTCAAAACAGACCCGCAGGAAAGGGTGAAAATAGACCCGTGGAACCGGGTCAAAATGGACCCACAGAGCAGGGTCAAAATAGACCCTTAGAACAGGGTCAAAATAGACCCGAGACTAAATAACTACTTCCTGATTTCTTAATTATTTTTATTTCGTTCCGGTAAAAGTGTAATATTTTAGGCGTTGATTGGGAAAAATGATTTTCTAACTTGTAAAAAAACGGCTTTAGAAGGCGATCTACATGATTTATTAGCTCAGAAAGAAGAATTAGATTTAAAGATGGAAAAATTGGAAGTTGAAGGTGAACGGTGCCGTAATGAAACGAATATGCATGCCGATACCATGCTGTATGAATTATTGCGTAAGTATTTAAATTTATTCGATAATAAAATGGTGAATGGTTTATGTTGATATCTCTGATAGAAAGGTGTATTTTTATTTCAGTAAATTGCATCTCCGAAGCAGAAGATATTATCGAATATTCATTAAACGGTATCGATAATCCATCGATGTCAGACCTAACTTGTACTCCTCAATACTCATTAAAAGTGCAATACACGTTGCATATGTTTTGGGTCTTTATTCAATACATGGAAAATCTACATGAAACACATCTATTGATATTGCATCGGGCGATAGTAAGTTAGGAAAGTTAAAAAATGTAGAAAAAAAAAAATGAAGAAAGTCATATATATTATTTTGAATTTTATCGTGTTGTAGAATCGACCGACGAATGTAAACAGTTGGGAGTTGGAAGTTTGGTAGAGGCAGAATTGTTAAGTATGGATAAAGCAATAGAAGAAGCTGGTAATCGAATACAGGTAATCGCATATTACATTTTAGTGTAATATATAAATTGTTTTTATCCATGGTTATGACATATTTTATGATCAGGACATGGTGGAGAAATCTCGCGCTGGTGATTCCGGGTTAAAATTAGAAGTGAACGGAAAAATGTTAGATTCATGTACATAATTAATGGAAGAAGGAAAGGTACGTCGCTTATTTTGACCGTTAATATTTAATTTATGAATATTAAATATGGAAAGAGATTTTGAATCGTAGGGCACAGCCTCTGGAACCGAATTCTAGAAACGTAACCATCAATGGTCCGAAGGGCTGATATCAGCAGCGAAGGCGGTTGCATTTGGTGATAATCTTTTATTGTAAGTGTAGAGGATTTATTTCGGTTTTTGTTTGTTATTAAACCGTAAAATTTGTTTACGCGTGTAGAGAAGCAGAGTAAAAGCAAATAGAAATAGCTTGGCTGCACTCTCAGAGGCATCGAGAGACGTAACAGAAGCAACTGGAAGTGTTGTTGCAATTGCTAAAAACTGTGGCCATCTTGTGGAAGAGAATGGTAATTGTAGTTACTACTCGTTATACACTATTTGGATAAGGATGATAAAGAAAATAAGCGTTAAAGTTGTTAAGTATTAGAAAGAGTGAATATTTTGAACGATTTACAGATGGAGGCACAAGTTGATGTTTTGGAATGGGAAGAAGCTTTGGAGACTGAAAGATTACGTTTAGCTGCTTTACGCCGCTATCATTATCAACTGGAAGGTGAAGAAGAATGATCGGTACGTATTACCGAAGAATATTAAATAATACACTTTTTAAATAATTCGATTGAAATTAAGAATCAAAAGAAATGACAATGTTTCATCGACATGAAGCAGTATGGAAGAAAATGTTTAGAAATGGAAAGTAAAGAGATTCCATTATAAAATAATATATTACGAGAACAGATTTATTTAGGTTGTCCAAAATGTATTATTGTAATCGAATGGCTACAGAAAAGTTACCGTTGAAAATGTAACTGTACCTTTTCTTTAAATGGAAACCTAGAAATGTAGTTTCTTATGTTGTACATAAAAGTACCAACATACTTATGCCCTGAACTTATTCGTTAGGAAGTTATCGAAGATAAATAAAGTTGCAGTAAGAACGTATGGTTGAGTTATTAGAAAAGTAATGAAATAATGTGGTTTTTCATAAATTAGAATATACATTTGTCCTTTCTTTAAAGTGTATCCTCATCTGGGAAAAGTAGTTGTTATGTAATCGAGCTATCATTTATTTGCTGAAATCGAGAGACAAGTGAGGAAAAAATGAGATCTTTAAACGTTGAAATTCGCAAGTTGCATCTTTTTTTTATTTTGAGAGTCATATCAGTATGTAGTAAAGTAGCGATACATGCATATGTATCCGAAGTTATGAGACGATTTAACTAGTACATATATGTGGCGTCACCTCCCATGCTCGCCACCAGAGGGCCACCAGATTGGTCGCGCTCTCACAAGTGTTCGAGCGAGCCTCCGTTAGTATATATACACTCGGCGAACGACTTTCTATCCGGGCGTCGGGCTACGGGCGTCGGTTAGGTCGTGGGGGTATTGTCGCGGGGGTTAGGTGTCGAGCTTTTACGTTGGGGGGGTTTCGTCGCGGTTAGGTCGCGGATAGGGGCGTATAGGTCGCGGGATAGGGTCCCCGGTGTAGCAACGCAACCTTCGATCTCTGGAGTCCAGGCTCCGGGTGTTAGAATTGATCCGGAGAGGGCTACAGAGATCGAAGGTCCGGTGTTAAACCGGCTCGGTGGGGGGAGGGGGCGTAGCTCGTGCGATATTTCGCCTGACCTTGAAATATCAGTCGTTCTCAAAGTACTTGAAATTAAAATTAAAATTTTGTAATTTTTTTTTATTATAATGCCGCGTGACAGACAGTGAAATATAAGAGTGATCGTAAATTTAAAAGAAAAGAATAAAAGAATCGTGAAAAGTATGGCATAATGGTGGCATCGTATAATAAATGTAATAAATAAATGAAATGCTAAAAGGCCATGTGCGTAGGTGAAGATCAATGAATACAGAAATAAATACAGTTAAGTAGTCTCGAAAATATATTGAAAGAAATGTACCGCGCGCAGGTATAACTGGACGTGAAACTTTTTTCTCGAAACTACATTTTTCTGCAACTAAAAAACTATTCAAGATATCAACATCAAATTTATACAGTATCTTTTTTCAACAAAAAAGCAAATATTAAAATATTCAGTATTTTTTCGTAAAATAGCTGCCATTTGAAAAGATCCTAGTTCATGCTAACCACACTCATCTATAGAATAGGATTTCGAATAACTTGTACGCAGTCCGGTGCCGTTCGTAAAATTGATGAT